TATATATATATATATCTTCAGGTAAAATTTTAATCTTATGTAAAATATTTACCTGGTATACAAGCAACAGTGGCATCGCCGGCGAAATTCGGCAGGCATTCGCAGATCATTGTTCTCATTGGTAGCGTATCTACGACACTACATTTGGCGCTTACAATGCATGGTTTTGTTTCTGTGCATGGATCTTTGCAAACACCACTAAAACATGCCAACTTGCTGGGACAATCAGCGTCGACTTGACATTCCGTCTCTGGTTCTAGTAAGTCTAGAATAGCAATAATCAGTATTAATTTTTTTAATATCAAGAAATAAGTAATTATTAACCATATATCTCTCTGTATCTATAACAATTCTCTTGTAAAACAAAGTATATTTCAATCAAATCATCACTTATTGAAGTTTGTTCAATTTTACTAATAATAGTTTAAAATAATATGCAATGCTGGTTAATAAAATAAATTTTTATTACTTTAATTCATTTTGAGTTAAAGAGACAAATCCTTACCTATGAGACACGAGTTGTAAGGATTGCCTATATAACCAGGTGGACATTTACAGATTTGCCGATGATTGGCGACAGTGCATAGCGCCGGTGGTGGGCAATTGCAAGGATTGATGCATTTCAGATTACGACAGGCCAAGGACGGAGCGCAATCGTTGTCGCTGGTACACTCAGGCCTCTCGCATATTTCGTAAGGATTACCCGTGTAACCATCGGGACAGTAGCATCGAGTCTTGTGATACCCATCAGCGGTACACAATGCGTTGACGCCGCATTGCGTAACCAAACAGGTATCGATACATTCGTTGTTAATACAAGATTGAATCAACGGACATTCGTTATCGTTACGACAACCGACTAGAAAAAAACATTAATAAATTTAAAATAGCACATATAATTATAAAAAAATGTATCAATAATTATTTATAATTATTTTGATACGTACTTTGGTGGCAATATTGCTGAGGCTTTCCGGTATAGCCTTCATTACAAACGCATATTGGTCTATGCATTATCACGTGGCAACGACTGTTCAGACCGCAAGAATCGAGAGTACACGGATCGATGCACTTTTGATTGAAACAGGTCTTATCATTTGAGCACTCGGAATTTTGAATGCATTCTGGAACCGGTTCTGCAAACATGTTAAAAGTTAAATTTTATAAAAAATATGATAACTCCCAATATATTTAAATTAAAAATAAATTTTTAATATATT